AGTAATTTTATGGTTTCCATGAAGCTGAAGCAAATGGACTTCGAAGGACTCCTCCGCCGGTTTCTATGGCGGACTTCGACTTGGGCTACGGCTGGCCGCGGGCGCTCCCGGCCGACTGCCTCGACTTGCTCACGACCAGCGCGAATGCTGCCCCCCTCTCCGGTTCTCTCTTCCCAAGCCAGGAGAACGAGGGCAAGTCACGGCCCACGCTGGGGAACATCACGAATGTCATCAATCGCCAGGATGCCGCCAAGGATGCCAAGCCGCTCAAAGCTGGCCCGGTCCACACCTCCCCGGCTTTGGACGCTGAGAACGCATTTGGAAGGGCGGAGCGCAAGTCTACGAAGAAGGGCCTGCAGGTCATGGATGAAGAATACTTGCTCCGCGGGCTGCTTTCCACCACGCCCCAGCCGGCGACCAAGGCGAAGGTTCCGGGCCTCTCCGCCAACGCCCCGGTCTTCGTCCCAAGCCAGGAGAACAAGGGCAAGCCGCCGCGCCCCGCGCTCGGGAACATCACGAATGTCCTCAATCTGGCCAAGGATGCCAAGCCGCTCAAAGCTGGACCGCTTCACACAGCCCCTCTGGACTTCTTCCCCCGCCATGGCGACGAAGCTTGGGTGGACAGCTCAGACGACGAGAACCTATATTTGCGGCTTCCGCCACCGGGGCTCGCTCCTCCACCAGGCCTCACCTTGCAATTCCCCGAGGAGAGCTCTGCTCCGGGTCTGTCCGCCTTGCTTTCCACCACGCCTCAGCTTTTGTCCCCGATGGAGATCTTGGGGCGCTTTCTCCCATCGGAGGTCTCATGGCATAACCCCCCGGCAAGCCCAACGGCAACGGCTAAGAACACGGCCACAATTGCGACGCAGACCGCCGACGGCGCGGAACCTGAGATCAGCCGGGAGGACCTTCTGCGGCTGCGTTCTGCAGGAGGGGAGGCTGGCCTCAAGGCCATGGTGCTTCCATAGGTATCCCATGGATCTGTTGCAGGGTTGCAGTAAGCAGTTCGTGTAGCACTGAACCCAGGGGTCTTAGGGAAGAAACTGTGGGCCTCAGGGTTTCAAGATTTCATTTCCTGCAACCCTGGTTTAGGGAGTGCGAGCCCCGCTCGAACAATTCAGATGGCAGTAATCCTAATTGCAGATTCGGCGCGAATTACATAAATTCACGTCCGCTTTTGCACGAAATTAATGTTAGAGTTCTCAGTAGGTTAGGTTTCAGAGAGACAAGATGAGAGAAATCTGACTCTCTTCGCCCAAGTCGCACTAGGTGCAGAGCCAGGAGGTTCCATAGGGGCAGCGAATTTGCTCTGCCCAAATGCCAGCTCGGCAATGCCAATGTAAGAATCCCTGGGGTGGCCATGCATGTCTTAATTCGTCTGCCCTGTCCTGGAAACCCACTGCCAAGGCAGCTGCAAGCATTTACGTCATAGCTCGAAACAAGGTTCTGCATGCTCATCAATCGACACAGCAGTCTTGACTCGTCTTGAATATTTTTTCACAGCTGTTTTGCTTCTTGAATCTAATAGGAAAATCGTCAGGCCAGTCAAGTCCTGACCTGGTCACGGTGCTGGGCAGTCCGCGTCAGTGATTTGGATGGGAACACACTTGGGAGCTTATCCGACTTGAATGGCGATTTGTTTAAAGAATCTCTACTCTCCATGTGCAGCTTGGTTTACGGAGCCACTGCGCGCCATCTTTCCCATTTGGGCGACCCGAATGTTGCAGAAACATAAAAGCCCGGGTTCTAGAGCTTACTCCGAATTCGTCATTGCGAGTTTTTATGGGACATTTGCAACTGCCTCGTCTCATTTTGGGCATCTAGCTTTCACTTCCAGTAAGGTGGTCTCCTGTTGGTGTTGAAAGTGACACGGTAAACGTCATAAGAGAAATCCCCGAGCTACGCACTTTATCCTATTGGAGGGCCATGAGCGGGTCTTGATGGCCTTGTTGGGTCCTATTTTCTTTGCACGCTGCATCACACCACGCACTTGTGGTTTGCAGAGTTCGACAATGTGAATGCAAGCATGTCAAGCATGTTGATCCAGATTCTGGTCCCATTCGAGCTTCCTTTTGAGGACCCCACAAAAGAGACATGTCAATCAAGCCACAGGGCAAGGCTGAGCCCGAGATAGTGACGAGAAGGATTCGCATGCTAGCGGGCACGCAAATCTTTTCCAGGGATCTTGTAATTCAGCTCAATAAACCATCATCATGGCCTTTCTCCGGTGGCATGGCCATAGTTCACGCTTGGAGTTTGAGGTTTCCCCACGCTGTCTTAAGAAGCTTGTTGCTTGTGAGACGAAGGTTGTCGCAGAACGGATGCGGGAACACCTGGAACAGGTTTATTTGTCTGCGAGTGCCCCGCTGGCTTCAGAGCTTGATGTCTGTGTGAAGCCACAGATCGCCGAAAGCATGAAACTCGCCGTGCTCTGGATCACAGCTCCTGTGAGGGGTAGTTGTGCACATCGCGCACTTTCAAGTCGAAATCAATAGGAACGCACGCACACCCAGTTTATCGACAACAGAACATCGAGCCTTTCCTCGTCAGAACCCCAAGGGTGCGTGCCTTTCAACACACCTTTCACCTTTCTTTGGGGTGTATGTTTTCGCCATTGGTTTTCAAGGAAAACAAACCCTTTCTTTGGGGTTTACATGTTTTCGCCATTTGTTTTCGAGGCAAAGCAAATCAACACAAGAAGCTAAAAACACCCGGCAACCCTTGGCCCATTTTTTTTCTGCAGCGTCATGGCGCGGTTTCTGGCCGTACTGGCAGCGCTGGCGCCAGCGCTGGCAGCAGCTCGTGGTTCAACACACACACACACACACACACACACACACACACACACACACACACACACACACACACACACACACACACACACACACACACACACACACACACACACACACACACACACACACACACACACACACACACACACACACACACACACACACACACACACACACACACACACACACACACACACACACACACACACACACACACACACACACACACACACACACACACACACACACACACACACACACACACACACACACACGCGACGGGTTCGATCGACAGATTTTTCTGCTCAAATCGGCAAATTCGCGAGGACGTGGTCAAATAAAACCATAAAGCCATGAACAAAGGGAGCGCCAAACCCCTTCTTCAGGACTTCCGGGGCGCCTTGAAGCACCTTGGCCAAGGGGTTTTCTCACTTCCTGTTAGATGGTACAAACACATTGCTTCTAGTTTCTGCTGGGATACCAAGCACCTGCCACTGGACCCTCCAATGTAACCTAAAACATGCTGTGTGTTTTTGCAACCACGTACTCAACCCAAGCATTGTCAACATGCGCATTGTTAGAAATCTTTGTTTGTTCCCCACTACTTGTACAGCTTTAAATGATCAGGACCACGCAAAAACAAAGGAACAACTCAGCTCCGCAATTGACACGCATAGAACCAGCAGCGAAAGAAGACATCGTGATTTGTAGCCCCTTGTAAGCAGAACATGCTTGTCCCCCCCCTTAAACGGGGCTGGAGTCTGGTGCCCGAATTGGGCATTGTGTTTGCTTTGTGCCAGCCGCCATGCGTGCGAGAGTTCTTCCTGATCCGATTGATGCTGTGTGCTGCCATGTTCTTTGTTGCCATGTTGCGGCGGCGACTGTTTTCTGCTCTGGTTACACTGCTTAGGTCAGTTGCCAGTGCTGGAGAAGACGGACACCGAAAACAAACAGAGCCACCAATTGAACGCGGTAACCTCTTCCCACTCCCACCAATTCCGAGCAGAACCAACACGAACGAACATGTTGCTTGCAGCAGCCGCCCCGCCAAAAGTGAAGAAACCAGACACCAAACAATTTGGCTGCTTGTCTCCTTTACCAAAATGAGCAGGACCAGAAGCCACAAAAAGCTGTCTTTTCTAACCGGCAGCCCCACCAAAACTGAACAGATCCCACTGATTCAGCACACAAGCAACAACTTGCTTTTGCAGCTCCCAGCACAAAACGATCAGGAGGGGGGGTGTGAAAAATGGGCACCCTTTTTTAGCCCTGGTTTATGCGGTGTAACAAGGGGTCCGAACAGTTTTGACCCAGTAGCACACAGTTTTCTCTGCCCAAGAGAACCCCGCCAGCCAGCCGGATCAAAACCAAGCCAAGGCACCGCTGCAGAAGGGCACCAAAGCCTACGAGCCGGACGCCTCAGCGAGCGAGTCGAGAGTGGACGCGGGCACCGTCGAGAGTCGGACGCGGGCACCTGAAAGGCTTGAGCGGACCTTCTTTGTTTCTCCGAGAGAAGGGTCGGGCGGTTTGCTGTATGGCTCTGGTTCTGTGAAAAACGCCCAGTTTTCACGCCAAAGGGTTGCAACAAGTTACAAAGCTTCATGGCCCCGGTTATCTGGTTGGAGCTTTGGACTGGACAACTTTTTCGTTGAAACAGTGGAGTTTCCCTTGGACCCACAACACATTGAACGTTTTGCAACAGCAACCGGGTTTTCAACCTGAAAATTCAGAGGGGCAACGTGGGAGTCAGGATCTCTTTCTATGGGCCAGGGAGGTGTCAGAAGCAAGTTGGGCCCTCTGAATCGATCGATACGGGAGGCACTTGACCGATTTGAGTCAACGGTTCTCACAAGACGGTACTGCGGATGGACGAAATCCTCGGCGCCGCCTAAAGAAACCTAAGATTGATTCGATTCCCCCTGGAAATGCCAGCAAACAAGGGTTTCAACCATGGTTTCTTAGGTGCTGCGAAATGGATTTTGTCCATCCACAGTAGGTCTTCGACAACAGCTTGTTTAGTCAGGATGGCACCGGCACCGATTCGTCCCAGCGACCAGGGGTGTGTTCTTTTTTGAGGGAACTTGATTGAGTTTAAAGGAGAACAAAAAGTGGGTTCCCTAATTCTGAGACAAAACCTACAGGAACTTCCCTGCCACTCAAATGGCTGCTCAAAAACGGGTACTATGGCACCTTGGGAAATGGAACCATAGACTAGAACCTGCGTAAACAATTTCGAGTCTTGGCCATGAGCTGTGGCCGATTTCGTGTGCGGCCTGCGCACTTGACGTCTCCTGAATTCGCTTGATTCGGCGAAGCCAAGATGTGGGCTACCTTCCAAATGACAAGTCTTCAGCTTTTTCTGCATTTCGGGGTTCATCGCTTCGGCCCCCAGTTTTGGCCACGGGTAGCTTTTCCCATGGGACATCTCGCATTTTTTTTGGTGGCTCCCCCTAATGGTCATCCCGTGCACCAGGGTCCCTTTAAAGGAAAAGTCGTCTTCCATTTTGAAAGGTCAGGTTTCAGGTTAGTGGGCAGGAGGGTACTGTGAATGGACGAAATCCTCTTAGGCACCGCTCAGAAACCCTTAATGATTCGATTCCCCTGCAAATACCAACAAACAATTCTTTTCAACCATCGTTCTTTCCAAAACCCGGATCCGTTTTCCCTGGGTTTCCGGAGGTTTTCTAGAAAGAAGGCTCCCTGAAAAGAATGGAAATGGAAGCTGCCCCAATCGATTGTTGAGCATTCTCGTTTCTTTCGAATCTAGAGTCCTTGCGGCCGGACTCGCATGTTAGTCCCAGCCTGGAGGATGATCATGTGCGACGCCTGCCGGATTGTGATGGAAAGGCAGGGTCCAGAAGCCGACCTCGAAGCCCAAGGGACGTTTTCTGAGGCTGAATGAAGAACTATCCAGGAGAAAGCTTGAGATGGTGCTTCTTCCTTTCTCCAATATGTCTGGATTGACAAACATCCACAAAAGGGGCGGGCCGCTACTTTCCTAGGTGGGTGTGCCTTTTTCGCTGATACCCTTTTTGCGGGTGCCTTAAACACGGCTCGACCATGTTATGCGATCGAGGCCATTCATACGATCGACCTCGAACATTTTGGACCTGACTGCACGGGACGGGAGGCAAGGTGCCCAACCCATGGCGGTCATGCGGGCCAAAGTTGACGGGAGACATGAGCAAATCGCTTGCATGGGCGCCTCATGCCCTTCGCG